TTCGGGAGACTATAACTGTTGTCGATAGGACCATTAGATGCGTGATTAGAAATCAGTCAAATGCGGCGATGACCTATTATTTTGGGAAAATTCTCTTCAGTATATTAAGCCGGGAGTGATTTCCTAGCAGCAGCAGGACTTACCGAGAACAACTTGAACCGATGAAGGAGGCGGTAAATCGTGGACTCGTGGATGCGTGGCAACTTTGTTCCCTTATCGAATTCTTGTATTCTTATAGACTTTTTTTTTTGCAAACCCTTGTTGTTTTGTATGATAAACAATTCTGAATTGTGCTTGAAGCTTCTTTCGTTAGCCAATTTTCGTGTTTTGATAATTTCATTTGATCTTCCCCTTCCTGGCATAAAACTTCAGATGGAGTGATATGACGCATATCAATGAGTGTTTCTTATCACCTTAAAAGATTATGCAGGAATCTTTTAAGGAGGATAGATGAGTCCGGAGCAAGCACACCGTGAGGTGCAGAACCTTCTTAGTTTTGAATTCTGTTCATCGCAGTCTTTAGGAAATCTTGTTCTTTTACTTCTTTCGGAGTTTTGGGGAAACTGACGTGACGGTCGATGCTAGTAGTCAGAAAAATCAAGGCGAGCTAGTTATTGAATCTCTCGGCAGGAGCTGCTTATTTGGGATTATTCCCGACTGAATAACCGTGTTAAGAATCTCTTTGAGAATTCTCGTCTATCTCAATCGTCGATCTCTTCGCGTATTAGAGTGTGTCGTTTTGAGGATCCGGTGGACTTGGAGCTCGAACATGCCCTTGCTATCTTTGAGACTTTTGAAACCTTTGAAGTTGTGAAATGACTGAAATATATGTTGGACCCAAAGTTTTCGTTAATTTCTAAAACCATTTCTTTTGGTGATCTGAGATTGTAACCTTCTTGTGAAACCTTGAACCGAACTTCGGCCCTGGCTGGGTGTAGCCACGCGAAGTGGTGGCTGAGCATGCACGACCGTGCTGAGAGACGGGAGGCTTGCGCGCGGCCGACCGTTGACTCGCATGCGAACTGCAGCCGCCATCGCCGTACGCACGAACTCCCCAGGCCAGCGTATACGGTCAACCATCGATATTTTTCCTGAACTGTTGAAATCGTTTCATGCTGGAATACTTAGTTATCCTTTTGAACCCCTTTCGTTCGAACCATGAACCGAGAGCTCCGAGTCCCACTAAATGTGTGTAAATCCTTAATCGATGATTTCAGATTAAGGAATGTAGTCAATGAGTCCCTATGCCTTATTATAGAGTTTCTCGAGTGGGCAAATTGGGAATGTCGTATTGCTATTGGTCAATCCTTATGTTTGCACATAAGGGCTGCATTCGACTCATGGAGTCAATATCGTGTGGGTATGCGCATCTATGGTGTGCTGTATACCGTGTCATAGTCTCTGATGGAGACAATCGGTCCTTGATAAAATCGTGAGCAAGTTATCATTATGACTCGGATACGAGACTGAAACTTGACGTCACGTGTCCACCTTGTTGGTGAGGTAGTCGGACTATGCTGGCAATACACCGAAAAACCTGTTGAGGTCTTGTGTGTTGTTAGGTACAGAGTTAATTGTTGATACTCATGAGTATAGGCTAAGCCGAACTGGGTTCCTTCCAAGAAGATGTACACCTGAGCTCGGGTAGGATTGATCACCCTCCCAAGCAAGAAGGTAAACATATGAGCATAGGGCGAGTCGGATTGGTTCCTGTATATGGGTGCATGCCTGTTGAGCATAGGGCATAGGACTCATATGAACGGGGACGAGTTTCGGAGGGGATACCCGGATCTCATGATTGGAAAAATCTCCGTTCGAGTCTGTCGTTTTCCTTAGGTTGCGTGTTCTTTTGCATTTCCGAGGACATAAATATTTTAAGGAGGATAGATTGTTACGCCCCGTTCGATTTATAGAATTTCTCGGAATATTCTATTTATCGAATTATTTATAATGTTATATTTATTAATATTAGTCGCGATGTCGACTTAAACAAAAGGTTGGAGTACTCGATCGTTTTATTGAAAAACGTTCGTCGTTAGGCGATTTCAGTTTAATCGCGGGAACCGAATTTAATCCGTTTGAATTATGGATTTTTCCTGATTATTTGAATTAGCGTATGTTATTTTTTATTAATTTCGTATAATTCCAGTATTGCTCTACAAATCTCTCTCTTAAGCTTATTAGAATTAAATAGATGTCCTCATCTATTTAATCTTCCTAATTAAATTACCTAATCGAAAATTTAGATTTAAGAAGATGTCCTCGTCTTCTTAAATTCTTGGGTGTGCTCTCGTTTTACTAAATCATTCTAAGTATTGGATTGTTTTGAAATTTTCCTAAGTGTACTAATTGTACAATTTGTTGTTCTAAATTGTTTATTTTTATTTTATTGTTCTTAAGTGAATTTTGTGTCTAAGTCTTTAAATTCCTAAGTGTACTAAGTACATTTAATTTTGGCCCTATATACCAAGCAAAACACACTGATCAACATGCATATAATCCGGCCCAAACTTACCTTACTTTGGCCCAAATTCTCAGCCCAAACTATTTTTTTCTCTTAGCAGCCACAAACCGCGAGCAGCAACATATTCCATCTTCTGATCGAGTTGCGCAGTTGAGAAGCCATATCTCAACAATCTCCATGAAAACTCGCAGAATCGCTCAATTTCTCAGCCATCTTCCTCGACCATCTCACTAGCTCGGCGGCGGGAAGGGCAGCGCACGTCGGCGAACTCGATTTACGGCGACGGTAGGCAGCCAACTACGATCGAGCCGCGACCTCCGAGCTCCTATCTTCAGCTGTGACGATGAGCCCCGATAAGGGCGAACCAAATCATTCCAATGGTAGATTTAGGCGAGTTCCTTTCTTCGACTGAAGAAGCCACTGACGGCGACCTTGCAGTAGAGGCAGACAGACATGGCGAGACAAGGCCACTCGATTTTTCGGTGGATTCGACCAACAACGGGCCGTGACTACCACGCAAAGCAGCTTAGCAACCCGTGATTTCTGACCTTTGTGCGAATGTGCAATTCCGGCAACGTCGAGCGGCGACTTCGAGCATCGATTTTTGTCAGGCCGCGACTGCTTGCGAACCCCGACCATTGTCCGACGATTTGAGCTGTCGGCGACTGCGCTCTACTCAGCCCTGTCCTTCCGCAATGATCGAGACCTCCGACTACCAGCAACGACACCCTCGGGACACTGCGAACAGCCGCGATCTGTCTGAAATCTGTCGTGCATTGCCGATCGCAGCAGCTGACCCCTCGTCGGAGAAGGAATCCGCGCGAGCCACGCCGAGCTGTATCTCAGCTCACCCACACGCACGCCGACAGTCGCGAACCGCTGCTGCTTTCTGCTGGTGTCCAAGCAGCGACCGAGCAGCCCCAAAGAGCCAGACGAGGCCGCGAAATTTCCAGTTTTGACCCTTCTTGTGCGTGTAATATCTGAAGCGAGGTGAATCTCAAGCACCTTCTTCTCATTCCGCATATTTAGATCCTTTATTGTGAGATATTGGATCTTGTGAAAATCTTGAAGTATTGGGTGTTGTTGAGTTTATTTGGAATATGTGTGTTTAAATTGGTGAATTTGGATCTTGTAAAGATTCGTATGTGCCTGTAGAAATTGTGTTATGTTGTGCCCCTTGTGAAATGTGTATGCTGAGTTTGTATACATGCTAGCAAGCTGTTAGTGAACTATTTTTTTTATAACCTTGTATCTCAGTTTTAAGAGTTTGTGTGCGATGTTTAAGATTTGAGTTATGAAAAGGCATGAGTATACATGTATGTATATGTTAGGCGTAGCCTTGCCTAGTCTGTTGTGGTACTTTCCATGCAGTCATCATGTTGATGTTATGCCTTAATTTTTGAAGTTTTAGTTTCAGTTCCAGGGCCTTAAGTTGTGTGGCTGGAAGTTTTAAGAAAAAAAGATAGAGAGAGAGAAACATAAAAATTAGATTTTTTTCTTGAATTTGGAAGTCATTTTAATGCTGTGATTATGCGTTGATATTGCTGCCAGAATATGTTGATTTCAGAAAGTTTAAGTTGATGGTTCATGTAATTAATTGAGAATGCTTGTAAAAGGTGATACACTTATTTAGTTTGGAATCATTGGATTGAGATGCATGCATGCTTATTTATTTATTTATTTTTTTTATAAGATATTAAAGGATGTTGTATGTGAGTTTGAGGGTAGCAAACCATTCTTGAACCTGCTGCATGTTTTATATGTGTTTGAGTACGATGTGTATTTGTTTTTGTGTTAATATCATTAAATAGCCATAAAAGTTTACAAAACCCAAATTTTAGCCACCTTTTATAAAAAACCTCTTTTTTAGCCATTTTGGCATGTATTTTTACTATATTACCCTTAGCTCTATTTTATTTCCACTTCTCCTAAATTTTTTCATTTTCCCCTTTTTCTCTTCAAAAATTTTCAGCCGACCCGCCTCTGCACTTTTTCTTCAAAAAATTTCTTCAAAAAAAATCATCTTTCTATACAATTTCTGAGCAAATCTTCAAAAAAATTTCTTCAAAACTCTATCTTCCGGGAGAAATCGAACACCTAACGAGCAGAAATCGACCGGGCCTTCACCTCGCGAGCAGAAATCGACTGGGCCTTCACCTCACGAGCGGAAATCTACCGGGCCTTCACTCTTGACGACCGATTCTGATCAATCTTCGACCGGGCCTTCACTCTTCACGACCGAACACGACATCGCCAGAATTTGGTTTTATTTTTTTTAATTTTTTTTTGAATTATGATTTTTTTGTTTCCTTTTGTAGGAGTCCCTTCATAACCTTGGGAGAGCATTTGAGTTGTGTTGAACACATTTTGTGCTTTATTTACATTTTGTGTGAAGCTTGGTAGAACATTTTATTTTTCAAACCATTACTATTATCTTGATGTGTTGGAAAATAAACATGAATATGATGAGTTGGTAGCTATTGGTGGGGGATTTCAAAGTGAACATGTTGTGAAAGCCTATGACTTGTGAAATTTTATGATCTTGGATTTTTGTTTTAATTTTTTATTTTCCTGGGGTCAAGCTGAAAAAGAGTTCAAAGTGGAGGTGGAAGCAATTGGACGTGTTAGACACAAGAATCTTGTAAGGTTGCTCGACTACTGTGTTGAAGGATCTTACAGGTATTTGTATATACTTTTTATGGTAACATAAACGTTACGCTTGAGCATAAAAAAATTAATTACCTTTCTCAATGTCTTAAAACATAGGATGCTAGTCTATGAATACGTGGATAACGGAAATTTGGACCAGTGGCTTCATGGTGATGTAGGCGATGTTAGTCCTTTGACCTGGGAGATCCGTATGAATATAATTCTTGGAACTACAAAGGGGTATGGTAACCCAAATTTACTGTGCTTACTTGTAACATAAGACATAGTTTTTGCCTAGTCACATACTACTTGAGCTCGTCTTTGTGGCAGCCTAGCGTATCTACATGAAGGTCTCGAACCAAAGGTTGTTCATCGAGACATCAAGTCCAGCAACAAACTCCTTGACCGTTAATGGCATCCTAAGTTGTCTGATTTTGGGCTCGCTAAACTTTTGAATTCGTAGAACTCATACTTGACTATCGAGTGATGGGTACTTTTGGGTTAGTTAGTTGTTTCTATTAAAGTTTTTTTTTCGTTTGTGTTTTACTTCTAGTGAAACTAGGGTGCATTAAGTGGATACTGGACTTAATAGTGTTCATCCTCTGCCAGATATGTTGCTCCGGAATATGCTTCCATGGGTATGCTGAATGAGAAGAGCGACGTATATAACTTCGTAATATTGATTATGGAGATAATTACTGGAAGATGTCCTGTTGATTATAGTCGGCCACAACTAGAGGTTAGTTTAAAGGATAAATTGCTAAAATTAGCCCTTAAATTTGTCATTTATCTTGATAAACACCCACTTGACATCTTTATTTGCTCGAAAAATTACTCAGAGTGAATGCCAACAAATATCTTAACTATAATTGGACTGGAATTCAATTTTATTATTTGTAACTAATCATATTTTCATTCAATAACTGCAAAATTCTTGATATTTGTGCCGTCACTGATGATCAGAAACTAGTAAATGCAGGTTAATCTAGTTGATTGGCTGAAGATGATGGTTGGGAACCGGCAAACAGAGGAGGTGATAGATCCTAAGTTACCTGAAAGGTCTGCTTCGAAAGCAACAAAACGTCTTATTCTGGTAGCCCTACGATGTGTTGATCCTGACGCTCAAAAGAGGCCCAAAATGGGTCACATAATACACATGCTGGAGTTGGAGGACCTGCTATTTCGCGATGTATGTGAATACTTATTCACCCTGACTTGATTACCTTACATTCAACCTCTAAAAATATTATTATATCTTCTAATTTTAATTACAAAACATACGCTTGAGCTCAGATTAATTAATGATGAAAAAAGAAAAGAAACATAAATTATAATTAAAGCTAAATGAAGCCCACTTTATCTAAAGTTTGTCCAGACATACCCTGTGAGACATATTGAGCAAATACAAATTGTTTGTCAAATTAGTAACTGCTTTTTTTTCCCCCTCAAATAGAAAGGATAAACTAAATGTAGTCTAGTACATAAATCACAATCTTTCATGTTACTAAAAGGGCTATTCTAAATTTAGGAACACGCCGAATTGTTGGAGAATCGTCCAGTTCGTTTCGAGAAGACAAAATTCAGGGCCCACAGTCAGCTCATAACTAGAACACTGAAGGTATCTCTGATGTTAGTGAAAAAGATAAAGGTAGATACCATAATATGCCAACTCAAAGGAGATAATTGTTGCAATTTGTATTTTGTCGATAAAAAAGAATATCCATGCTTAACTTATGTATATCATTTCATTTACAACTCTTATCTTTTTACAATTGTTACCTTGTAAGTTGCCTAAAGCATTAGCATATGAAAAAGTGAGTGATTATTCTTTTTACTCTTGTAGAAAATAAAACAAACTATTTTTTTGCGTTCTTTTTTATATGTTACGTATTATCTTAATGATCAACGAGTCACATCCCACTTTTTATGTGTGATTATATTATAGCTAGAATAGATATGGTTTCATACACTATGTTTCAACAGTCATCAGACCACGTGTTGTGTGAGTGAAACGGGCATGCTTTACGACACTGCTTGCAGCGTGCTGTTCTTCATGCACAACTCATGGATTGGTACCTAAACATTAACTTGTGAAATTAGGATTTGGAATAGTTAGATTCAGATTTAGGGATACAGATATCATCAAGTAGGCGGGCAGCACACCTAATTGCATGACATTCGATAACCGATGAGCTAATTATGTTTGGAGTTTATAATCATGATCATGTCATGTCGGTTCAAATGTAAATGCATTATGTATTTTGTCATGTCGGAATGTTCCTCCTGGTCTGGTCAATTATGTTCGTGGTACTGCTATTCATTGGGGATCTCCTTGGCATACAAATCCCGATGTAAGTTTTTCTTTAATTCTTAATTATTGGTAAATTATGTTGGATGGTATGAAATGTACTTGTAACATTTATATCAGTGTTGGTTTGTAACTTCGGATGACAGGTCATTTTGGTATGTAATGTTATCGAGCATTGGGTGGTGTGTCGGGTACGGTTATTGGATTGGAATATCGAGCTTTACGACTCCTTTAGCCACCTTTCATCGTCGAAGGCGTGTAATGACCGAGAGCTTATGTTGACCCCTCCTCGACGACTGCTTCCCACACTACTTCACCGGTCCGGTTATTTTGGTACTAGGAATATTCCGCCCAAGTTAGATGCCTTATCGATTAAGAGAATGCCAAGTGAAGTTCAGTTTGTTCAAGATGATACCCATAATTGTGGTGTATATGCTTGCATGTACGATGAACGCATGCTTGGCGAGGACATTCCCCGGGAGCCGGACATAAGTTTATATAGAAAGAAAATGGCGTTAGCAATTTATGCTCGTTGTATTCCCGAGTCGAATTAGTGTCATTTTTTGGGGCTTTTGTTGTGTAATGCTTTTGCAAATTGTAGTGTATTTGGTACTTTGACAATTTTGGTCCATTTGGTACTTTGGTCTATTGCAAATTGTAACTATGTTCTTCTCCGCGACTCGCGGAAAAATTCCGCGAGTTGCGACCGTGAGAATGTTGTAGCTCAAGTGTTCTGTTCTTCCCCGCGAGTCGCGGCCCTGGGAAGCTTGTACCCCTTACAAGAAAGGACCTTGAGGTTACATCTATCTTGCATTTGGACCTATTATTTGAATAACAAACTAATTGAGTCATGTGATGTGAGTTTGCTCTATACTATTAATCAAACAAAAAAAAAAAGCATCACTGAAATGATGATTGTCAAGATTTTATTCTATTATGAAGTAGAGTGCCTTGTATACAACAACCAATTGTCAAACTATATGTGATACAATTTCTCCAAAGTGCAAGTCATTTAATTACAGTGCAAGTCAAACTACATCAAACATAGCAAATCAAACTAAAATTGTTCTTTTTTTTTTTTCAGACATCACCATAGCAAATCAACAGAAATCACCAAATCAGTAGCAAAACAAAATCCGGAGTTCTTACATAGAAGTCCTCACTCCATCACTCCACTTAAAAAATACAGAAATAAAAAGCAACATCCTAAATCAACCCAAGTCGCTGGTCACCAACTAAAACACACAAAAATAAAAGCAACATCACAAAAGGCCAAGTCACTGAGCATGAGTCTGATCCTGGCGCGACTGTATGGCTTGGAGGCTAATATTCAAATTGTTGATCCGACCGTTGATTTCACTCATGTCTCTATCGTAGCAGACCTCAAATGCTGATAATTGATTTCTGGTCCTTGTCTAGAAAATTGATTTCTGGTCCCAGAAATCGATTTCCGGTCCATAAATCACATTTCTGGGACTAGAAACGAGATAATGTAGAAAACGATTTCTGGGAACCAGAAATCACATTTCCGACCCAGAAATTACATTTCTGACACAAAAATCGATTTGTTCACATTTCTGTGTCAAAATATGAATTATGGGCCATAAATCGATTTCGTGACAAGAAATCGATTTGTTCACATTTCCGTCCCAAAAATCGATTCCTGGGTTAGAAATGTGATTTCTGGGCCAGAAATGTGATTTCTGGCCAGAAATCGATTTCTTGTCACGAAATCAATTTTAGACAAGAAATCGATTTGTGGACTAAAAATTGATTTATTGTCCAGAAATGTGATTTCTGGTACCAGAAATGTGATTTCTGGCCCAGAAGTCACATTTTCTGGCCCAGAAGTCACATTTCTGGGACTAGAAACGAGATAATACGGAAAACGATTTCTAGGTCCCAGAAATCACATTCCTGGCCCAGAAATTACAATTTTGACCCAAAAATTGATTTCTGGACCGGAAATGTGATTTCTGGGTTAGAAATTAATTTCTGGACTAAAAACGAGATGATCCAGAAATCGATTTCTGGTTTAGAAATTTGATTTCTGGGTCAGAAATCGATTTCTGGGACAAGAAACGAGACGATCCAGAAATCGATTTCGAGGTCAGAAATGTGATTTCTGGGACAAGAAACGAGACTATCCCGAAATTGATTTCTGGGCCCAGATTCAATTTCTGGACCAAAAAATCAATTTCTGGGCCCAGAAATCATTCAATGTTCCAAGAAATCTATTGTACAATTTTTTATTTTTTTTTGCCATATTCATTTTATTAATTTTAATAATATATATATGTGGCCCATTAAAAAAATATAAATTATAACAATACCTTTACACTAGTATTCCCAAGATATTCCCAAGAGATAAGAGAGATGAACTTTTTTTAAAAAAAAAAAATTATAGTAAGGGTATTTAAGTCTTTTCATGTGCCAAAATGGCTAAAAAAGATGTTTTTTTTCAAACTATGGCTAAAATTTGTGTTAGCCATTTCAACATGGCTAAAAAAACAATTCACTGTTTGTTTTTTTAAGCATGTTAAAATGGCCTGTATGCTTTGGAATTGGTAAAAAAAAAATATATAATAGAGTTAACATATTTTCTTGTATGTGAATTTATCTGTTTATACTTAACTGAATTATGTGCTCTTGTCTGCAATATGGTCGTGCGTGTTTTAATTTGTTCTGAATTTTAATTCAGAATCCTTAATAATAATTAAACCCTAATTTATAGATCAAGAGGAGTCGAGCACTCGCCCTTATTTGAGCGTGTATTCACCATCGTCCTTTGCAGTATCAGGTGGGTTTTATTTGAAAAATTACTATGCCTTAAATGTTATTACTGTTTTAATTGTGGTATGATCAAGGTATGCATGTGAATCATGTAGCCTTCGGTGTGAGCTGTACTGGCCACCGAACGGTTATCCCCATAGCTATAGAACGTACCCGTTGGGTAGTCTCCCTTGAGAGCCGTAAGATCAGGGCGTAGGTTCTGGCTGGTGATCCCCGATTATAAGACCAATTCGTAGGTTTTGGCCAGCGGAGTGGTTTACTCCTACTGGCTGGGCATCGTTGTAAGACCAAGTCGTAGGTCTTGGTGTTCGAATTGAGTATCAGCAGTAGTCTATGCATAGGTGTTCACATGAGTCTGATTATTGTGATTATTGATGGGAGAATGGGATAGTTTATACCATACCTTTTGATTATTAAACATTGTTTATTATTGAGAGTAACATTTATTGCATAGCGGTGAACACTATTGTTTCCTTTTGTGCTCATCCCCACCTGCTCTTCATGGATGCAGGTTAGTTTATGCGGGCACGGCGGAGGGATGCGAGTGGTAGTCATTTAAATTGATTAATACATCCTTCTGATAAACTGATTACTGTTAATGTTGCTTTCGGATTATTGAAATATTGATAGGGAGTGTACTCCCTAGATACTATTGATTATTGGATTGCCTGGATGGTATTTGTAACAGCCCAGTCAACCCGTAGTAAGATATTGTCCGCTTTGGGTATACACCAGACCATTCCCTCACGGTTTTGCCTTTGGGAGCTAGCTCACCAAAACGCGTCCTACTAGTGAAGGTACCCACAGCCACTTCACAACCGATATGGGATATCTGATCCACCCCCCTTGGAGGGCCCAGCTTCCTCGCTGGCACATCGATCCAGGTACTGGCTCTGATACCAACTGTAACAGCCCAATCAACCCATAGTAAGATATTGTCCGCTTTGGGTATACACGAGATCATTCCCTCACGGGTTTGCCTTTGGGAGATAGCTTACCAAAACGCGTCCTACTAGTGAAGGTATCCACAGCCACTAATAAGGCATGCTTCGTTCCCCTTCACAGCCTTTGGGAGCTAGCCCACCAAAACGCGTCCTACTAGTGAAGATATCCCACAT